TTGCAGAGAAAAACGAGGCAGGAAGGTTCCTGCTCTTCATCACAACTCAGGGGTTAAACTGAGCAACGATGTGAGCTGTGACTGTGAGACAGAATTAGCAATCACTGCTAATAACTGCAGTGGTTAACGAGACTAAAACATGGATTTAGAAGTGTGTGAAGTTTTCCATCCAGGTTCGTCTTTCTTTGATTTTCTTTCCTCCACGGAGGCTCCAGCTGTGAGCATCTGTCAAACCCCATCACGGGTTCTGAGCGACGATGTGCTCTGGCAGCGGAGTTCTGGAGTTTTCAGGAATTAAACCGATTGACCTGATGGGGTTTCCGTGATTAAAGGTCAAATATTGCGACTTTAAAAGGCCATAACGGTCACTGTCACATGCTGTCGGAGGCCGGCGAGCTGATGCCGGCGACTCGTTCCTCTTTTGTTGCAGACGTTCGCTGGTCTCATGTGAAAGCACCAGAATAGCTCAGCAGCTTTCTGTTGGAGTGTGTTTTACCCATAATTTGCTTTCAGGTTTAAGTGCTTTAAAAAGGCAAGCTGGCAAAGAAATTACAGACACACAAACACACACACACACACACACGGGGCGACTCTGACGCTGAGTGCCGACACATGGCAGCTTCCCACACAAAAACCCGAGCCCTTGAATTTTCCATTAGTATTCCAGAACCGTGGTGGCCGCCGCTGCTTCTGTCTGCCACAGTCTGGTTCTGCTGCCGAGCCAAAGTTTACCGTCGCGCAGAGACGTCGCATTCAGGTCCGGATTCTCTCACAGACGGAGTTAATGGAGAAAAACTGGGCTCTAATTAGCCAAGCAGACACACAAAGCGTTGTGGGAGGAGGGAACGTCCGCCTCGGCGTGCAGATAAATAACTCGCCTCATTGTCGGCGGGCAGTTCTTATGTTTCGTGTCACAGAATCAGAAGGAAGCAGCACAAGGAGACAAACGTTATCTCAGATTTGAGAAGATCCCAAAACAACATTCACATTCTCTGAGAAACTTCAGTTGATCAAACTAATGAGGTGCGATCAGTAAACAGATTTTTTTCTCCTAAGGATTAATCTCACAGATGGAGACGCTGACGAGCCTTCGTCTCTCTGCTCTTTTTTCCCTCCCGTCTGCCTGTTTTCACCCACCGGCTTGTCTTCGTGTCAATCTCGCTAAATTCACACATTTTTCCGTGGAGGCCGTCCAGGATCGGCTGCGATACGAATTGTATACGGAGCGGAGAATACAAATGGAGTGTGACAGCTCGGGATTAAGTGCAGCCACAGGCCTCAGAATAAATGGGTTTTTTGGTGCAGCGTCTGTCTGCAACCAGGAGATCAGGATCACATCAGCTGAATAAATCCACCAAACCAGGACGTCTAAAGCCTTTCACACACAAAAACAATGGTTCCTCAGAGCGCTGCAGCGGTTTGTTTAGCGTTCTCACACACCTCCGTCCTTTAAAGTAGTAAAGCTTCTTTATTTCAACATGAAATCAGAGCAAACCGACTGGTTTCTATGTTGACGATTCGAAAGACCAGAAACGGTGAGAAGTGCAGTTTTCCAAACACTCAGTTGGAACCTTTTAAAAATTCAATCTCTGGCTGTCGGATGAATTTGGTGTTTTTATATCTTTCGTTCTGAATCTACGAGTTAATTAAAGCATTTAGGGTTCTATGTTCCTTCTAAGAACACGTGATCTTGTTGAAGCTGATATTTTTCTTTCTTGTCTTTGTGGAACCAAAAATGGTTCTTCAGGAGGTTCTTTCATCAACCAGCTGAAGAACCTCTTTATTGAAGGAACTCCGACGTGGTTCTTTAAAGGACTTTTTTAGGTTTAGTTGCAGGTAAAAGTGCGAAATTAGAGCAACAACTATCTATTGTCATTATTATTTTCTTAATCGATTTTATAAAACACGAGGAAACCGTTTCTCAAATCCGTTTCTGAAACTGATTTTCAGTCGCACCAAGAACCCAAAAAAAGGGATCAATTTGAGATCTACGGGTTAATTAAAGCATTTAGGGTTCTACGTTCGCTGAAGCTGATATTGTTCTTTCTTGTCTTTGTGGAACTAAAAATGGTTCTTCAGAAGGTTCTTCATCAACCAGTTTAAGAACCTCTTTATTTAAGTACCTCCATGTAACTGTTTATGGTTTAATTAGCAGGTAATGGTGTAAAATTAGAGCTACAACGAGCTAACCAGCTAACTTCATTATCATTTTCTTAACTAGTCAGTTTATTAGTTGATTTATGAAACAGTTTCTCAAATCCAAAACTGCCGTCTTGAAACTGGTTCTCAGTGTTTCTTGATTTTAATTTGAGATCCATGAGTTGATTGAAGGTTTTAGGGTTCTGTGTTCTCCCTCATGGGTCCTGGTTTTGTGTTTGTGTGTCTTTGAAGCACATATTTAAAAGAAAAACAAACTAAACAATAATAAACAGTCAACATCTTGTTTTTCAACCTGCACAGAATCATTTTATTCATGATGCTCAGAAAATAAATATTTTCCTGCTTCTTTACTGAACCAAAGAACTATTTTGAAAACAGTTCCTTAAAGAACCTTTTTTGTTTTTTTTTCTTTTTCTAAAATCGTTATCGGAGCATCATTTACTGCAACTAAACGCACCGTTTTTTTGATGTTTCTCTGATGAGCTGTTGGAGTGTTTGCAGAAACTATTCATTAGAAGAACTACAACTTCTTTGTGGAACTAAAAGCGCTTCATCGTTTCCAGTCAGCAGCGCCGTGTAGCGCCGTTGTTCTCCTGCAGCAGGACTCGTGTTACTCGAGCCGTACGATTACAGGATTATCGATCAGCTTCCCGTCAACAATAATCCTTCGTTTGTCAGAGTAATAAATTCAGATTATGCAGAAACACAGTCACATGTGAAGCTCCGTGACCTCATTAAGCAGCATCGTGTTCGTATCGGAGAAGACGAGGCGCTGCGCATGTGTCATTCCACATTCAATTAACCCTCTGCTTCAGGGCGCTTCATGCATAAATAATACACAGCAACTATTTTGGCATTAATATTTATGCCTCCACTATTTAGCTTCTTGTCGCGGGGCCTCGGGGACCGAGGTCCTCACGCTGCCTCCTCTCCGACCTGTACATGAGGATTACATGGAGGCTGTTCAAAGGGCTTCATGCATGTCTCATTGCGTGACATTAGCATGTTGAATAATTCACCGCGACATCCTCAGATAAGCGTTGAGTGCTGCGTTACACACACCTTTCAGGGATTAGCCCGAGCCCCGGCATCGCTGCCCCGCTCAACAAAGGAGGGGGACAGTTACTGGCAGGTCCACTCGGCAGTAAAAGCTCCTTTATTTAACTCTCAGACCCGAACGGCCGAGCTCGCGGAGCGACGCAGCCATTGGTCCACGCGAGCGACGAGACACTCAAAGTTTGTCCTGGACAGTTTTTAAAGAAGTGCTGAGTCTGCAATCTGGGGCTGAGTGCTGGTTTAATGCACGACTCCACTCTGCCGATACCTTTTCCACCTCCGTGCTGTCCCCGTCCTCCCAGCGTCTGTGTATTATTCATCTGACAGCGACAGCAGCCTCCTGCACGTTAAATAAGAAGCTCCATTATTGATGCCGGAGCCGCTGTTTGTTTGGAGGAGCTTCTATAGGAGGCTCAGGGAGGGAGTTCGCCTTTAAAAATCAGCCCGATCCGATGCCGCAAAAACATCTAATGAAGCAAATGTGCTGTGAGTATTGTCAGAGTTGCACCTGGATGGATGAAAAACTGGTCAGGTTGCAGTTAACAGAGCTTAAATGTGTTGTTTTTTTTTTTAACCCTGCTGTACTGATGAAGTTATAAAACTCAGAAATGATGGCAAGAGTCCATTAAAGTGATAAGTCTGGACCCTCCTCTATGGACTTCAAGGGTAGACACGTAGAAATGAAGAGTTCATTTGCAAGAACAGATTACTGCACTTTTGTAGATTTTCAGGAAACTATTTTTTGTTGTTTGCTCGAGATAATATCAACCAAACTGAAGTTAAATGGATTTGACTCAGTAGAAACGACAAAAATAGAGATAGCTGGTTGATATTGTCTCAGGTAGACGATGGACGAGTGGGTTTCCTGAAGGTTTGTGAGGACGGAGA